TGCACTATTTAATGAGTTCTTAACTCCGAGTGGGTGCTCCTTCATACAGCTGTCTTGCTGAATGAATTTACTGAACCCCCAGCATACAAAAGAGAATATACATACGTACACGGACACATATACACAAATACACACAAACACCTCACATACAGCCCATACATAAATAAGTAATAGCAGCGCGCACCAGACTAGCCGGTGCGATCATGCGTTTTGTGCAATTCAGCCCATCGAACGACTGTCTATTAATGATTTTCACTGCTTCGTACTTTTGTCTATGCAAAAATAGTTCAAACATTGTGAAATATTTAAAAATTTCACGCACCAGCGCATAAAAGCTGAATTCGAAGACTTGAAGGGTGAATATCTTTCCATGATTCCCTAGTTAAAAGTTTACCGGCCAAAATTTCCACGAGGCCGTAGGTGATACTCGAGAGCGCGGGATCGCTGAATTTGAATGGGCAAGGTTGAGCGTTGGCAGGGGGTCACTACCCTAAAATTTCAGCTTCCTAGATCCCGTGGTTCCAGATATAATTTAACCGCAAGCCCGTGAGTAATACCCGAGAGCGCGGGAACGCTGAATTTGAATAAGCAAGGTTGAGCGTGGGCATGGGGTCATTACCCTTAAATTTCAGTCTTCTAGACTCCGTGGTTCCCGAGATATTAACTTACCCGTGAATAACTTTCACGGGGCCGTACGTGTTATCCGCAGGTACGGGAAGGCTGAATTTAAAATTGCCGCGTCACCCCTGGCGAGGAACACTATACCAAAATTCCAGTCGCCTAGCTTTTGTGGTTTCCGAGTTGAAAGTGCGGGACAAAATGTGGGGGACACACACAGACAACCCCGTGGCAATATGGGTTTTGTAATGCTGTTACACAGCATAAAACGCATAAAAAAGTGAAGAGTAGCCGGAGGGGGGAGGGAAAGAATGTATTAAAACGAAGCATACAAAAAGAAACATTGAAAAATTTCGAGGAGGTAGACACTTACATAGCGAACGTAGTTGTCATTTTTCGACTTCTTTGATAGCGGTTCCATTTGATTCTTACAGTGCTATAAAATGGATATGTTAAAACTAGCAGAACCAGAATAAGCAATGGTACATCAACTGGTCTGTCAGCTGAATAACTGCGCAAGCAAAGCAAGCATCCCAGGGTCCTCCGGGAAAAGGTACCAAAATTACCAATTTTGGCTGGATTTTCTTTTCATTCCAATATTTTTTGGAGGATCGAACGATTTCGAAACAGAATTCCCGTCCCGACCTTCCCATCCTGAAGACGTCTGAACTTTTATGCCTATATAAACTGATTATGCGCTTAGACTACGCAGGAATCAATCAAACCAGATGCATATTCGCATAATGTAGTAGTTGGGACACAATAAAATTTTCGTGTACAGCACAACCAATGTCGCCTTCGGGGATCCATCCCGATTCACAATGAAGAAATAGTCTATCTTCTTGCTGTACACGGTAAATATGCAAACAGCGCCTTGGCACTGTATTTCAAGGTCTTAGGAAGAAAAAAAAACTGTGGTTCTGGAGTATGTAAGCCAAGGATGTGCCCAAAAATGTCTCCGGATATAATAGTGGCGTTTGGGAAGCCAACGAGAATGTCGTCAATATACTGGAATAGGGCTTTTGTTAGGGCTTTTACGTAAAAAAAATGGGCCAACGCACGGGATGCCCGTGCGAAGATGCGTTTTTTGCATAGTTCCCCCAAGTTTTTGTTGCTACCGGCACCGGCTTTTACGGCAAATGCTTATAGGTAAACAAATTAAGACTGGCCGT